TGTGTGTGTGTGTGTGTGTGTGTGTGTGTGGTATGTGTGTGTGTGGTATATGTGGTGTGTGTGTGGTTGTGTGTGTGGTGTGGTGTGTGTGTGTGTCGGGGGGTGGGCTAACATTCATGCATGCATTCATTCATTCGTTCATTCTATCTGTAGGCCCTGGAGGTCAGAGGTCCTCACTCACACCTGTCTCTTGCCCTTGGCAGGGATGAGAATGTACTCAGTGCTGTGGGAGACTTCTTGAAAATGTGCAGCTTTCCCTTGGAAGAAGTCTATGCTGTCACTCAAGAGCAACCTAAACCCCAGTGTTCCTAATCTCTCCCCCACACTTTGTTTCTCTCTCTTCTCACACACAGATTTTTAAAAATTTCTCCAAGAGATGGAACTGGAGATGGTTCAATGATTAAGAGCACTTGCTGGATTAGATTCCTAGCACTTACATGGTGGCTTGCAACCATCTGTAACTCCAGTTCAGATGTTCTCTTCTGACCTCAACCAGCACCAAACATACACGTGGTTCAGACATACATGCATGCAAAACACAAAATAAAACAATAAAATAATAACATCTTCACTCCAGAGGTTGATGCAGGCAGACCTCTGAGTTCAAGGCCAGCCTGATCAACAGGGTGAGTTTTAGGACAGCCAGGGCTACACAGGGAAGTCCTGTCTTAAAAAAACAAAACAAAACAAAAATAACATCTTTACAAAGTTTCCTCAAGAGGACAAAAGCAAACAAATTTAGTTTTTCTACTAAAGCTTTAGGGAACCTTAAAAATCCAGAGAAGAGACCCAAAAGGACAGAGGTTTGGAGCCAGATAAAACAAACCTAGGATCTGGACCACTGAGCCATGTAAACTGAGGGAAGCTATTCTGCCTCTTTGGGTCTCAGTTTCCTCTGCTGTAAAACACAGAGTATGACTCTTGGATGGCAGCTGAGGGCAGAGTAAGGTGTGTTCAAGGCCCCAGCAGGGGGTGTGGCTGTCAGAGAGTTCTTAACACCTTTTATTGAATGCTAGGTGGCAAGATAGGAGGTGGGCAGCAGGGATGAATATGTGCACCCAAGCACTGCCTGTGACTGCAGAATAGGGTATGCAGTGGAGTAGATGAGTGTTTCCGAGGCTCAATCCTCTCTCTGACTTTCCGGATGTAAGCAGTCACCTCCAACATGCCCTCAACAGCCCACTGGTTGGAAAACCCAGAGGGACATTGTAGCTGGGGAAGACTCAACAAGTCTGGGAGTTTTCTCTTTCCTCCTTCGGCCACCATGGTGGGGAAAGAGCAGATGAAGGAGGCAGTACTGGGCCTAGTGCTTAGAAGCCTGGGCTGAACTATTTGGAAACGTGTTTCCTCACCCAGCCCGTTCCCCCCCCACCCCCTCCCACTCCTGCCCCCTCCCAAAAAACCAAAACAAAACAAAACCTAAAGGCACATACATCACTATTGTTACCATTATTTAATATCCAGCAAATAGGAATCTGGTAAAGTGTAGGGAAGCTTCTAGAAATAGAACATGCACACACCTGAACAAAACATGTTGATGAATGTTTTCCATGTGAACACACCCATGTTGCTACCACCCCAGCCAAAACATGGAATATTATCACACCCCGAGTCTCCACTGATCCCTCCTCTGGCCACCCCTTCCTGAGAGCACCCATTCCCACTTCTCACACTTGAGATTAGTTTTTTTAATTATTAAAAATATCTAGTTATAATGTGCATGTGGGTATTTTGCCTGTATGTATGTCTGTGCAACATGTGTGTGCCTGATGCCCAGAGGTTTAAAGAGGGTATTGGATTCCCTGGGACTGGAATTATAGATGGTTGTAAGATGCTCTGTGGGTGCTGGGTATTGAACCCAGGTCCTCTGGAAGAGCAGCCAGTGTGCTTAACCACTGAGCAATCTCTCCAGCCCTTTAATTAGTTTTATTTGGTTTTGATCAACAAAGGAGACTCAGCAAGATTAGTTCACTTGCTTGGGGTCCTGCAGCCAGTCCCAGACCCCAAGCTTCAGACTTAAGTAGGTACACATTCATGGTTACACACACCTTTTCTACCTGTGCATTGTCTCCCAGGACCACATGAGGATTCCAGCAGAAGGCCTGGCCAGTGGATGGCCACACAGACACAATGACTCCAACCACCCCCCCAGGGATACATACGCAGGCACATTCTCCGAGGACCCTAGAGGGACAGACCCACCAGTTAAGGTGTTTCTCCCTAGACAGCACCTCATAGAGACTCAGGCCAGATGCTGGCAGACAGACATAAACAGGCCCAGACGCTCCCATGTAGACCCAGCCAGACACCAGACCACCCCACACAGGGGGACCTGCACCCAGCCCCAGATGTGCATGCACGTGAATGTGAGCAGTACCCAGACACCCCCGCATAGCCCTGCTGTGCCCCTTGCTCAGGCCCAGGCAGAGCTGAGTCTGATTACTATCTTGTCTGTCAGCGCTGCCACCCAGATGGAGAGGGCCTGGGAACGGTGCCCCGGGGTCCCCCGCCCTGCTACAGGAGCAAGTTTAGAAGACAGGTCTGCTATTGGGCCAGAGATGGGGACCCTGGAATTAGGTGTGGGAGGAATTCCTCTCTCAGGATCCAGAATCAGAGAGAGAGAGAGAGAGAGAGAGAGAGAGAGAGAGAGAGAGAGAGCAGCAGGGATACTAGAACAGAAAGACAATGACAGAGGTACACAGAGGCAGATGCTGGGCAGGAGGGAAAGAGACACACACAGGGGCAGCAGGCACAGAAAGGACAAAGGACAGCACCATGAAGAGATGGAGTTGGAGTGACAGAGACACCAAGCAAAAGACAGGGAGATAGAACCATATTGGAAGCTGGCTTAGCATGTACCAAGCTCTGGGTGTGATGGGGCATGCCTGTAAACACAGCATTCAAGAGGAAGAGCCAAGAGGATCTGGAGCTAAAGGTTTTCTTCCATAGTGAGTTCAAAGTCAGGCTTGAGACTGTCTCCAAAGAAACAAGCAAAACAACAATAAGAAGTAAATGATCTAACTGGTTCTCCATCACTTCCTGTGGAGGAGCTAGCCAGGGATATCTCACAGACCCTGAGAAGGGAGAATTCTCAGCATCTGCAAAGGAAATTCAAGGTCAAACAGCCCCCAAAGCATCCACTGAGCAATGTCTATGCTGATGCCATGTGTAACCATGAGAGCACAGAAACAAGCCAGAGAACGGAGAGCTTCTTGGAGGAAAGACTCACTGACAAATTGAATAAGAGAGTGGGAACTGACTCTGAAAATGAGAGGAGGGAGCCACTGGTGTGTGCAAAGGTCCTGAGGTCCAGAGAGTTCAAGGCACTGTATAACTAGAGCTTTCAGATCAAGGTCCAGGATGGTAGGAGGGGAAGCAGGAAATATGGCAGCATGTTTGGGTCATTATTTTTTATTTTTATAATTTATTTAACTTTTATTTTATGTACACTGGGGTGAAGGTATCAGATTCCCTGGAACTAGAGTTACAGACAGCTCGCTGCCATGTGGGTGCTGGGAATTGAACCCGGGTCTTCTGGAAGACCATTCAGTGCTCTTAACTGCTGAGCCATCTCTCCAGCCCTTGGGTCATTAGTAAAAGAGCACCAAGAAGGTGTGTACACTTGAGTCAGGGCAGGAGGGGTGAGGGGAGAGCTGAAGGGAGCTTTCAAAGTCAGCTAAGTCTTGGTAGATAGTTAGGGTTACAATTGCTGTGATGAAACACCATGACTAAAACAACTTGGAGAGGAAAGGTTTATTTGGCTTACACGTCCACATCATAGTCCATCAGTGAAGGAATCAGGGCAGGAACCAGGAACTCAAGCAGGGCAGGAACCTGTAGGCAGGAGCTGAAGGAGAGGCCATGGAGGTGTGCTGCTTAGCTGCCTGCTCCCCATGGCTTGCTCAGCCTGCTTTATAGAACCCTCGGCCACCAGCCCAGGGGTGATACCACCCACAATGGGCTGGACCCTACCCCATCAATCACTAATTAAGAACATGCTCTACAAGCTTGCCTATAGCCCATCTTCTAGAGGCATTTTCTCAAATGAGGCTCCCTCCTCTCTGATACTTTGCGTCAAACTTCCAGCACAGAAGAGATGAGAGGGAATTATCTATCTGCGAGAGGAAGA